AAAAAAAAAAAAAAAAAAAAAAAAAAAACGAAATAAAAGTAAAGATAAAATCATTTTAAATTGTTATACTAAAAATCTCAATATTATATTGTTCGATAATTGTTACTCTAAAATGTTTAAGATTACAACGTGTGATTTTTATCGCGTGACAATAAATTTATCCAAATGATTTTAAGTTTAAAATATTAAGATATGTTTATATTACACGTTTTTATTCGGTACTTAGAAAATATTTATTTTACATAAAATTCTTTGAATAGTTTATTAAATTTAACGATCTTTCAGTATTATGACATTAGTATGTAACAATATATTATATATATAATCGAAAAATATAATCAAATTTAATCCCACAAATGATTAATAATTAATTCGTGTAACTCGGATAAATATTTAATATGTACGTAATCACCAGATGATCGTATTTATAACGTGATATTCGTATAATTAAATGTGTATTTAAATAAAAGAAAGTGTATTCGAAATATAGAAGATCGTGAACCTTTTAAAATAAAGAACTTAGATACAAAAATTGCATAAAAACTATATACCTCTTTTAAATAAAAATAAACTTACACAGATGACAAGGTACAAATATAAAAAGGTAATAAAACGTTAAAAAGTAAATAATTAAAATAAATTTCTACTGTATTTATTTGTTCGTTTGTTTCATAATAAACATTGTACTTATATCGGGAAATATACATTGCTAAATAACTTTACTTTTGCTAAACCGATATAAAAAAAAATATTTAATAAAAGATCAATATTTAAAGTAGATACTGAAAATTATAAAGGAATTGCCTTATTTACATTCTTTTGCAAAAACGTTAATGAAATTCGAAAAAAAAAAGTGAATATAATTATGTTCACACAGCTGAGTAAATGTGAAACAAAGACTGTAAATGGAATGTTAAGAAAAAAATATTACTATACAGAGAGTACTTATATTTTCATAATTACACTGTTATTACAGATCTATTCTATGAATGAGGATATAAATATCGGCAAAGTACGACTATAATTATTCAGAGAACATGAATTTTTAAGTAGAAAACCGCATTTCCAGCAAACAAATTTATTCCATAGATTACATTACAAAATATTACACCTCATTTTTTTCACGCTGGAACGCTGTTGCGAAAAACTATTCTTATCCGTATATTAACTTCGATTAAAATAGAGGTGCCTCAGTACTTCGCGCGTTTTTCTTCTTTTTCTACAATGCATATAAATTTCTTTCCCCTACATTGCAAATAGGCGGAAAGCTATTATTTCTTGCCAGAATTTCATTTCGCTTTACTAATTATATCTCTATAAATTCTTTGAGTTTACTCTCAGCAAGTAAAAACACATACGAACACAATATGTGACAATGAGAAAAATATGATCTTATCATAAATGTGATCATAATAAAAATTATAGATTCATATTGCGTTTCACGTGAATAAACATTCAAATTAAATGCGTAAAATTCAAACACCATTCCTCGTACGCACTTAACATTATAAAATGTTAATTCAGCAAGAGTAAGATCATTTTAGCTGTTTCAAAGCAAAGTCTACTTTTCAGCAAATGCAACAAAGTAAAGAACATTGTTTGTAGAAACTTTTGATTTCTGTAACAGCCCTTTTTATTTCTTGTCAACTGTTACTCGTATAGCATTATTATAGGGTATGTCAAATATTTATAACGTATGTATAGTGATACTTCGTTTACGCATTGCTTTTGCAACTTGTATTATTCGACTTGTCAATTACAACAGTTTAGTTGTATGAAATAGCTGTAAAAGAAAATGGAAAGAAATAATTTTATCTTCTTTTAACAATACAGTTTAATTCATATAAATTCATATAAGAAAATTACCTTGTTACTGAACACTTTAAGCTTCAGGTGTAGCTAAGGGGGCTTCTTTTTTTTCATCAATCGTAACAGCTTCTTTTTTATCACCAACTGGTTTATCACTTTCATCTGCTTCCTTTTTTGGAGCAACCTTAAATGTATCATATGTATATTCAACAATATTAAAAAAAAACAGTCCAATATAAACAATCTTATAATCTCCTTTTTTTAGCTAAAATGATCTTACAAATACTATAGTGCAAAAGTGCAAAGAAGAAAATCTATAAAAAAAAAGAAAAACGCTGTTTATGACAGATTTGATTGTATTTCCATATCTTTTATTTGTTACACGTTGAAAAAAAAAAATAAATATTAATATTTGTACAATTTATATGCAACATCTTAAAAACTATAGGATATTAAATATGATGCTGAAACGTATTACTGCACACGAACTATTTCCTATGTTACAACTATAATTTCAGGTCACACTAAGAAGTTATTAAAATATTATAAACAATTAATGTACTACATTTAGAAGTTTTACACTTTGCAGCCCAATGCAAATAATTTTGGTTACAGATAAGTTATACCCTCAATGGTAACATACATATGCTACATTAAATGCTCTTTCTATAATTTTCTATATATCATACTTCAACTTAAAAGCATTAAACATAACATTTACTATTATTTAGGCAGATTTATTACCTCCTCTTTACTAGCTTCATCAAAATTCTCCACTAAATCTGGTACTTCGTCATCTTCTTCCAATGTTGATTTACCAACTGTGCTCCCAGAAACTGTACTTGCTAATCGTTTCAACTGTGTAACACTTTCAGGACCCAGTTGACTTATTATTCCTGGTATCATGTCAGTTATTTGTTTGTTTTCGCCATGACCAGTAATGGCAAATGTGTTAGCAGATAAACCAGCCTGGGCTTTTGGATTATTAAAATGGATAACAGAACCATCATCCTTAATCATGTTAACCTCTTCTATGCCAGGTATCGTATTCACAGACAACTTTTTTAAACAACTTTGTAATTTCTTGTCATCTGTAGCAGCAGTAGCATGTACAACCTAAAAATATATTAAATATAGATAAATAATAATAAGTTGTATGCATGAAAGTTAAACATTCAATTAAAACAATTTCCTTTCTTATCAATTGTTATACCTTAATATAAAATATTCTTAAAAAATATCAAAAATTCGATTTTTGTTAAAAATATAAACATTATAATATTAATAATTTCACGTTAAATTACACATTTAATGGGTAAAATTAAAATTAAACTTAAAATTAATGTATAAAAAAGCTACAAAATCAAATACCGTTTGACATATTAAAAATAAAAGATCAAAACTACAAAAACAACATTATAAATAACAAACATGTGATAGTAATTTACTGAAAGAATTAAAATGTGTCTTACACGGATTACAAAGCTTTGGTATCGTACAAGAATAGTAATTGGTGGTTGTAAATTGAGCAACACTTTTCAGAAGGAGGCAAATCATAGATCGTTCAAGTGGCACTTGAAACATACACTTTTATAAACTTTTAAACTCGTGACGCGTCAATAATCCTGAGAATTCTATAAACTCTTGTTAACTTTCGAAATAAACCTATATACCTTCTTCTTGCGTCGGGGTGTTCCCTTACCGCCGATTCGTACTTGAGCTTGAAGCTTCTTCAACTTTTCGGGATTCATATTAACCTGCCTTTACGATGATCAGAATTTTTTGATCTTTGGTCGCAAAGTTTAAACAGACTACAAAACTGACGCAAAGTTTTATACAATAAAATGAATTGAACACGACCGGCGAGCAAACACGTGCTCCCTATTCACCGAAAGGATCGAGAAAATGGAAGTGTACGCTTCTTTAGCTCCTACGTCAGAGATAACTTCCGGCAGGGCAATGCTTCCGTTTAGAACTTAACTCAAAACACTGCATCGACTAATTGTAAATCGTTCTGTTCAAACATAAAGTAAATATAAGTTAATTCGATAAATCGAAATTTCACACAAAATATTTTGCTGAGTTGAAAGATCCATTTTAGCTGTGAATCACTATTTCATATAATAGTTCATCTGAACATGGAGGTTATGGAAACCATCATATTATAACATACGACTTCGAAGAAAAAAACTTCATAAATGGTGTTATAATAGAATTAAGAAATATCGTATAATGATATCTGAAAAAATTACTATAATCTAATAAAAATGAACTATTAAATAAGTGTAACAATCGTAAATTATTGAAGTTATTTGAAAATTGATCAAATTTAGTACAAAATAAGGCGCGAATGTAAAGTTCAAAATTAAACATTGTAATTGTATTTGACATATTCTATTTTTCGAACTAATTGGCAACTTGTATTTCTGTCACATCGAGAGAAAGACGAATAGAGGTGTAATTTATAACAATAATATATATTTGCATATTTCTTTTTATGCATGATCATTTGATATTTCTTTATTCTACAAAAAAATGTTAGTTATCTAATAGGTGTATTGGCAAATAATTTGTGACTACAAATACTTTAGATGCATAATTTATTTTAAGATTCATAAAACAAAGGAAGTTTTATTAAATAATGTAAATATGTTTTAGCTCTTACATAACAGCATTCAATTTAAAATATATATTTACAATATATCACATTCTTATATAACAATAATTTAGCATGCTGTTGACAATAATATAAACATAACTTTTCATATATTCACTTCCAATAAATTAATTAACAAATATATTGCATAATTGAAAATGAAATTTTTTAATGAACAGAAGATACTGATTTTGTGATGTGATATGATTATTTTTCATATCATGAAAATATGAATCATTTATTCTATGAGAAATCTTTATTTCTCTAATTTGTATCTTTATAAAAAGATATAATAAAATTAGGTCAGTCTTTAATTCTTTAAAATTAATTTAGAAACTATTTCCAAAGAAAAAACACTTCTTTTAATTCTTCTAATTTAAGTATTCATTTCATGTAAAATTTAAGGTATGTCTTAATTACCTTTTTAACATATATTAAATTATTTAATATTCAAAATATAGCAAGTTACTCATGAAATCATGTTACATTTGTTTCTCTTTAGTGATAAATTTTCCTCAAAAGATCTTGTACCTTATTTAATCAATAATAATAGGAAAGTGAAAATTTGGTAATATAAATACAAGTATTACAAAATTTAATAATTTTTTAATAATGCTATTTTCCTCCATCTATGACTTGTTTCATTTTTTACATGACCAAATTCAAATCTAATTCTGAGCTCACCAATTTTTGATATTGGTAAAATGTCTGGAATCCATTCGATTAAGAATGGAGTTGGTTCAACTTGATTTGGAGAAGTATTTCCTGCAAAATAAAGTGAAATACTTACGATATTTATAATTAATTACTGTTTTAAGTATACATTAATTTGTAAACTATATTTTTTTAAACATTTAGTTCTTACCAACTTTCAAATATGTTTTTAATTCTAAAGGCTTAATTAACGCATTATTATTAGTTTTTTTATATCGATCGATTTCTGTTTCCTCCCTTTTATACAATTCATATGTACCATCTGCGTTTTGAACGAAACTTCTCGTAATTTCCAAAGGTATAAGAGGTGTTTCAAAAATACTTTTGACATGTAAAATATTAGTAATTTGCCATGTATATTTAGTAAAAGTACCTAATGGTACCCCATCTTTTCTAACAAATGCCGTTGTTGAATTTGGCAAACGTTTTTTTTTACCACCACAAGATATTCTTTCTCGTAAACAGTCAAAAAATATTTGAGGTACATGAAATACTAAGGGATCTGGTTTTCCATCAAACTGAAAATGCATAGTTTGATTTATTCTTTCCGTTATCGATGCGAGCCACTTAATAAAAGGTAAATTTATATTAGCTTCATCCAAATCTTCACAAAGATTTTGATATTTCTTAACAATATGTAACTTCGTTTTAGCTTTTCTCGGTTCTATTGAACTTAAATTATTCAGACTTGTGGTATTTGTGCTTGTTGGTTTGTCATCTCGTTTTCGTTTTGTCGAAATGGGCTGTTGTATATTATTACTTTCTGTATTTGATATATTTCCAGTATCATATTGTACTAACATGTTTTTATCTACTATTTTTACACTACTTGTATTTGAAACAGTATTAGTATCAATTAACTTCATATTATTCACATCCAAAATAGCATTTGTATCAAGAACCTTTAAAGTTCCAGTATTTAGTATTTTTATATTATTATCATTTAATATATACTGACTATTATTAAGCACATTATATTTAGAATCTATACTTGTCTGATCATCCATTATTTTAACAGTGTTTCCATCAAGTTGTACACCATCTTGATTGATTACTTCTAAATTATTCACCTAAATTTCAGATGAATTTGAATGTTTTAATCAATTTCTTTTAATGAAATGTCTTATATATAGGAGCTAAAAATGTAATAAAGTCTTACTTGTGATATCATATTATTATCTTCTAATAAGGTACGATCACATTCTACTTCAATATTTTCAACAATACTATGTGGTAAGATTGTAGACTCTAAATTCATTGAATCCAAATCTAATCTATTTCCATCTAAACTTTGGACTGTTAAAGTATCATCTCGAAATATTAAAAGATGTGTATCTGTATCATCTGTAGTTAAACTATCAAGATCTAAAAATTTGTTGTATAATGAATATCTAGTTACACTTAATTTTATGTATGATTAGGATGAATCTCCTTACCAATGCCTACTATTTTATCTTGTTCATCATTTTGCAATACTGTTGTTAATGGCTTTGATATATTTAAATCATTCTGATCTAAATTGATATAATAACTGAATTCTTCTGACAGCTTTGCATCACTAGCAAATGCACAAATACAAGCATAGAAATGTACACAGCGTTTATTCTGAGAAGATTGAGCTACATCTGGTTTATCTCCTGTTGATTTTGCTACACCCTAAATTAGTTTGTAATACTGTTAATAATATTGTAATTATACATAATATAAATTTAAATTAGTCTCTTGATACTTACTTTATATGTGGAACAAGAACAAAAATAACGATGTTCAATTCTATCTTTCAATTTTGTAACAAAAAGAGAAAAGTGAAGATAACCTAGTGGATGTTTTGGTGAAGCCTTACATTTCACTGCCATTATATTTTTAGACACACGCTGTACTAAAGGGCCTGAAGTTTCTGTAGCAAGTAACCAAATTTCTTGCTTCATTTCATTATTTACATTTAAAGATGACAGAATAGAATTTCTTAAAGTTAATGGCTGTGCTTCTGCATAGCATCTTAAGGCTGCCTGTATATGCTGGCATGCAGAGGCAGGCACACTGGACGAATTTTTTTCCTATAAAAGAAGATATTACAATTTCTTCAACATAGAGCTAGTTATTATTATTTACAGTTCTGATAATATATATTTTTCAATTCGTAAAACTTACATGACATTTAAGAACACTAGTGTCAAAACTTCTTTCACAGCTATCAACAAAACATAATGCATTGGACTGTGAAATAAGTGTTGTCATTTCATTAGAAATTGTAGCATTTATTAATGGTAATTGAACAAATCCACGATAGTCTGGACCTTTATCGCGTACTCTAACAGAAAAAACTTGAGCAGTTGTGCCCGTAATAAGTTTACATGCTTCTGTTGATAATTTTCTCTTTTCTCCAGGTTCCTTAAATACTGCATCACAATATTTGTTTTTACAACACAAACCACGAGAACCATTATAAGTTCCACATTTTGGACATTTACGAATTCCACGTAATGTAGCTTTACCTAAGTCAGATAATAGCTTCCTCAAACGCTCCTCATTAGACATAGCTAAACAATATTATGGTTGTTTTAATAATATATGAGAATACCTTACTAAGAAACAATATATATATGTAAGATAGATTATTATTTAATTCCATAATGTTTTATATTTAAAATTTAATGTCATCATGTTTAATATTACTGTTAAATGTTAAATAATGTATAATTATAATTTTTAATTATCATATGACTATTGCAAAATATTTTCATAATAACAAAAATATGTAAATAAAATATACATTATAGTTATATAAACATTATATTTATATATTTTTTATATTAGTTTTATATTTTAAAAATATTATTACAAACAATGTTTAATTTCGTAATTATTGATATAAAGTCCTATAATGTGCTACATATAAAGATCATTGAATATAAAAGATTCAAATAACATTTACATTTTCGCATTAAGAAAATATTAATTAAACTTTTACTAAACACTCAGGTATTGTTCTACATGACACATTTTACGAATTCTGAATGATATACATATTAAAGATATGAAGCTTTTATCTACTCTTACCTTTTACAACAAAACTAATGGTTATAATAAGAAAAAAGAATGATGTGCCTTTCACTGAGAATTATGTTACAGAAAAGTTTGCTTTTGATAGTAAATAAATAAAGCTCATCTCAATTCCAAATTACTAGCATTTACGACAGAGGGCATTCCTCTCCACGCAACATTAACCCAAATTCACAGAACTAAATAATTCCTCAATTACCCTTAATTCATAATACTACTGCAAGAATAGTTCATATTTATTGAAATGTAATATTTAGCAGATTCTTCAATTTTTTCTTATAATTATTTTAAATAATTGTAAAACGTTATTGTTTTTTTTAATAATTAAATTAATTTTACTATCTGCCATCCTTTTTCCATTGTTTAATTAAATACATATATGTGGATAAATAAAAAATACACATTTAAAATCTCATATATGAGTTTTTATTATATATTCATATATGACATATGTGAGAAAATATTTTTATAACCACATATTCTTCTAAATATTTGAAAATTACTTTCGGAATTAATTAATTTATTTAAGTGATAAATCAAATACTTATCTGCATAAACTATCTATTTTTCTTAAATAGCAAATAAATTATTATAGATTGATATTTCTTCGTGTTATATATTCAGTGTAAAAACCAAAATAGAACAATCATGTAAGTATAGCCTGAAATTTCGAAATTCTACTTATGTTTACAGTGTATAGGTATCAAGTCACATAGGCATGTTTAGCAAAGTTTTGTATTGAATGTAAAGTATTTTTAAAGAGTAATTTAATTAAACAATAAACGATTAGTAACATATATTGTGTTATAAAAAGTGATACAAAAGTATTAATCGAGTAGTCATAATATATAACAAAAAATAAATATATAATACATTTAACCTCTAAATATGAAACAGCTTTCAATAATATTGATGAATCTTATTTAACAGGATTTCGGAAGAAATATAGACCGTGAATAATATTTATATAATAATTGAATGGTATCTATTATGTTTATTTAATTTAGATAATTAATGTTATTTTTTATATTAAATTTCAATTGTCATTAAGGTTACATTGTCATTATTTTTAACAAACTTTTGAAATCATATCTCATATGTATTTATATTTTGATATCTTTAAATACATTATTGATAGATTAATGATTTACAAAAGGTGAAATCATAAAAATTATTATAAAGTAAATAAATATGACGGCGGCGATTAAAACGTTGTGGAAGCAAGCGTTAAATACATTTGAAGAACGGAGTAATGTTGGATTCAAACTTTGTCAAAAAAACTTTGACAAATTGCGGAATCTAATGAACAAAATTACAGCTGAAGATGTAAACCTAAATGAACAGGTTCTTGATTTTATACAAGCGCAACATGCACCAATGTGGGTTATTGACATATTCGAAAACAAAGACTTTGCTATTTCAATTTTTATATTGAAACATGGATTTACAATGCCAATACATGATCATCCTGGAATGTATGGTTTTTTAAAGGTGTGTAATACTTTTTTTTTTTTTAACATAATATTATGTTAATGATATTGTAACATTCATTATTAATGATAGATTTTATTATTGATTAATTATTTCTGTTTAAGATCATATAAAATTATAGTTTTTATTTTGTTTGGAAATGTAGGTAATCAGTGGTGTAGTCCAAGTAAATAATTATACCTTAAAAGCAAATGAAGATCATACAATTAGATTGAACAAAGAAGTAATGGCATTTAGACACAAACCAATATCTTTACACAGTAATTCGCCTGCTTGTACTCTTACACCAAGAGATAAAAATTTGCATGAAATTACATGCATTGAAGGTCCTGCTGCATTTTTGGATATACTTAGTCCTCCTTATGATGTAGATGATTCTGGGAAAGGTCCAAGACCATGTACTTTTTTCAAAACTGTTAGTAGTTCCAAATTATGTACAGATTCATCAGACATAGTAGAGGAAGTTAAATTGGTGGTTATTAAGGGTCCACCAGATTTCTATTCTGGAAGTCTTAAATATACAGGACCACCTTTAATGTAACCTAAAGTACCAAAAAATACTTCTTGTTCCATTTGTTAAAAAATTTTGCATTTTATTACATTAATTTACAATTGTAATTATATTATATATTTTTAAGAATGTTTAAATTCTAATGAAATGTATAATATTGGTGTTTATCTCTTGTATCTCTTTGCAGATATAGAAATATATAAATACACATATATTATTTAGATAAATTTAATATAAACAAAAATGATACAAAATTTTTATATTTTGCAATATTAGTTTATCATTAACATAGTTTATTTTTATTTATTATTAATTTTAGATTGAAATTAAATGTAATTTTTAATTGCATTCTTACTGATTTTTGTATATTATAGAGTTACCTGTATAAAAATTACAAGTGTGAAATAATTACATTATATTTGCTATTTCATTAATATATAGAGTAAGGATGTAAACAAAAAATGTATTATAATACACTTTATATGTAATTGCATAATTAAAAAAACCATATAATATTATTAATAAATTGCATAATTAAAAAACCATATAATATTATTAAATAAAAACAAAAGTTTTATTTGTATAAAAAATGTGATACTTACTTATATCACATGATATTTAAGAAATAGGTTTATCATCTCTGTTGTAAAAAAATATGCATTACATTTTGATGTATATATTCTAATATTTCAATTTAATTATCTATATAGTTCTTATAGATCAAGTAGTTCAAGTTCTATATATATATACACATTGTGCAATATATACATATATCGTACTTAATAATACAATTTATATTTAAAAAGTTTAATAATAAATATATTTATGTATTATATTGTCTTTCTTTAAAATACTCTTGTGATACCAGAGTTTTTATCATATAACAATCACATCTCATCAAAGATAATGGTCTTTTTTAAAAAATAAAGAAATACATATAATTTTTCTTTTTATTAAAAACAAGAAATGCTTATATACACAAAATTGTAAAATTAAACATTTAAGTTATTGTGTACATACATCTTAATTTAACTTTTTGTTAAGACCTAAAAAAGATTAGATTAATTAGACTTAAGTATTAATTAAAAAATTATGTAGCAAGTTAATCTGTTGATTATCGTGTATATTACTTATTTATCTAGGTATAAAAAGAAACACAATTTATTGATTAAAATTGATATTTACTAGTTTCTTATATCTACAGCAAAAGAAAGCATTTACATAAAATTAAATTTTATACCAAAACTGTTTTATTTAATATATATTAATATATAAATCAGTACCTAATTCAAAACTTATCTATAATAGAAATAAATTCTTCTCTAAAGACTGTATCCCTTTTTACATTAGTAATCAAAATGTGAATAATTCCTAAAAACTTATCTATTTTGAATGCACAGAAAACTTGTGCTGTATTAACTTCATAAAATATACAGTTTTTTTCATCAATAAACTACAGATTTAGCATAGTAGATGACGATCTTTTTGTCACATAATTATTTCAAATCGAGGAAAATACATTTGTATTAAAGGTATCAACATATCTTAAATCTTACTTACTATGCAAGGAAGGATGAGTGAACACTATTGTAACTTTCCTAACAATTAAATTTAAGCAATATAACATTTCCATTTTAGATGTTCTTTGTCAGACAGATAATAATTTACTAATTATATTTATGTATATGACAATTTCGTACGCGCGCGCCCATATGTGAATATATGTAACTTACGTATTTGCTAGACCTGATTAAAGTACCCACAAACTTATATTCTTACATAAACTTAATACGCTGGACATCTCTTTTTATAATGAAAGTACACTATGAAATTTAGTTTTTCTAAAATACTTTAGAAAGTACATTTAGAGATGTACTGTCTTTCAATAGTATTCTCCCAAGAACCTATTTCTGTGTATATATCATTTGTTCGGTTGGTCTCAGAATTTTATTGTCTTCCATATTGTGCAACATTATTTTCTGTATAATCCATTATACGACGTTGACATTGTCTTATGTATTGTTGTTGTTTATGGTAAATCTTGAATGCACCCTTTATTGTTATAAATGCTATACCTCCCTGCAAAAATACAATTTTAAATGCACATTTTAAATAAAATTTAAAGTAACTGTTTAACTAATGATAAGGAAATCTAATACATACAAGTAATGTCCTTTGAAAGTTAGAATGTATACTCCCAAAAAATATTTTTCCACATATGCTGGCAATACTAGGTAATAGAAGTGCACCACAAATGATACGGGCTATTGATACTGAATCACTCATAGGTGGTACATTTTCAGATTGTACTCTATCATCATAGATATGATCATCACTACCATAACTAAAATAACAAAATTTTCATATGAAATTTTGTACATACCTACTAGCAAAAAATTGCCGCAAAATAGGAATCTCATATGCGTGTCGCCTTAAAAGATGAAGTGCTAGTTTTTCCCATCTCAACATTTTTCCCAAAACTAATGTTATTGGAATAGTTGGCAAACCAACTAGCAATATCAAAGGATCCGCTCGCTCCATCATAGCTAGACCATCCTTATGACCAAATACTTGCATTACTGTTACTGCTCCATATGTTACAGCTATCCAATATATACATGCAACAGCTATACTAGTTGAAATAAATGGGCAAATCCAAAAAATTACTCCATCAATAGTATCCAGTACAACTACTAACGGTCCTGTAATAAATGTAATCATATTATAATATTATAATGTCTTAACATTTAAATTACGAAGTTAAACTATAAGTTAAGTACCATAACAGTTTATATCAGTAATAAGTTTAAATGAAATTATTGTGAAATAAGTATATATTAAAATAACTAACCCATATTTGGATGTACAATAATATATTCTGTATTACACTGTGGACATGCTACACGTGCATCTGCATGTCCTTTCTGTTTTTCATCAACCCATCTTTGTATACATCCCTGATGAACCCATTTTGTTGAACCACGACAATGACATGGTTTTACCCATGAAGCAGTTGCATCATCTTCATCTGTTGCAAAGCATACCCAACAATATCTTTTGCTGAATTACAAAAGAAAATTTAGTTAAGAAACATAAATTGAAATTTTATTTTTTGTGTATAAAATTGTAACTTATATTAATATACATACTCCTCTTCTGTGTTTATTGCTGGTGCACTAATTTCTGGTTGGTTTTGGGAAGATGTTCCATCAATAACATCACTAGGTTGTGCATTGTTTGTAGATTCTGACAATACAACAGGTAATGGTTCCTCATCTGATATAGGTGCTGCAGGTTGAGCATCAAACATTTCTTTAACAAAGTATATTGATTAGTATCTTAAAATTTAACAAATAGTAAAAATGAGAGTACAATTAATTATGGTCCCTTTTCCTATGATAAATACTGCAATTAGTTAGATTTCAAATGTAGATATTAACTTATGAAATTTTTTTATGTATTGTAATATTTCTAAAAATTCTAAAGTTTCATAATTCTGATACAACAGAATTGATAGAATAGAAAAACTATTAAAAGTACATATATGCATATAAATAAATTTTACCATTATTTGATGCAATAATTTGTTGTTGTATATTTCTTCTAATTGTTCTCAATGCATTGTTTATGCTTTGAAGACGAGCAATATCATTTGCAGCAGTAGATTCTCTACGAATACGTGTTATCCTAATTGAAATGTTTGGCATTTTATATTAAGATATTCAGTATTGCCTCACTATGTTATACCTGAAAAAATAATAGTTATCATTCATATAAAAATAAATGTTATTAATTTATTAAGTATTTTAAATATATGGAAACATGTATCTGATGACATTTACAAAATAATAACAAAATATATGTACACATAAATCAATATAATTATTAATAATTATATTATACTGGTATGAAATTGCAGAAATTTCAAGGACATTGCATAATAACATGCATAGATATGCGTACTTTTATTGCATATTAAAATAAATTTTTTATTTAAAGTACAATTACCTTTCCAGACATTTTTTTATTCAGCAGAGTATACATCTTTATTTATATCACAAAATGACGAAAATAAATTTCAAAAATATATCGAAAACTGTATTTAAATGCTTCTTTTAATATTTTGAATAAAACTAATGTCATATAGTTAAAATACAATGTTAATACATTACAAGACCATTTTGTTACTAACACGTCATAGTGAATTTGATCACTCACAGGTTGATAGAGATTATTGCAAACTAAAGTAATATAACGCACATATAATTCGAATAATACAAACTTTATCAAGGAAATAGTTCTATTCAAACACAGGTTATACAAGTGGGGACTGACATAAAAATTTGATATCATATGTTAGTGATGTAAATACATTATTGAAATCAAAAGTAGTAATTTTTACCTGACCCAACGTTCATAAACAATTTACTGTTACACATTTATGATGAAGTGATAAGACAATAGACATTTTTTAAATATACAATGTAAAATAAAAGTGACAATGAAAATAATTTGGTTACGTAGCAATCTTTGTTAATATTTTGTAACTCTAATAGAAAAAATTGTTTCTGTCCACATAAAGTAAATTAATTTTGTTTTTACTCTTATTGGCAACGATTAAAAGTTGGCGAAATTGTTGTTTATAGTAACAATATGTTAATGCGAAAATTCGCCAATGAAATATATCGCCGAACTTCACATCAATATCAGACACTATTTCCACTGGCTTTTTAATTTTTTTTCTTAATTTTTGAAATGAATTTATTTATTAAAATTTATACACATATGAAACAGTAAATTTTTGCAATTGTTTAAATTATTTTGATCTTTTAGATACTTACTGATTTCGTTTTTTATTTTTCTGAGATTTGTGATTTACATTGTTTTATTATTTTCAATTTTCAGCGCCATCTTCAAAATGATTATTATTATAAATTTATTATATGATTTAAGGATTCTACAACAAATTATCTAGATTATAAAAATTATTTTTATTTATTCATTATTTTCATATTAATTCCATTGTATATACTACTACAAATAACAGTTTGCAATTCTAGTGACGTATCATCGCATAGATTGTCAACTATCAAATTTACTGAGTTTATAATTGTTATCTTAAGTATCGAATAAAAAAAATTTAAAAATTTATGTTAGACATACAGTGTGTAAATTCTATATAAGATTTTTAGAAGATTAATTATAATCATTTATGTTTATAAACGTTAAATGAAAGTGCATTGTGATAAAAAGAAAATAATCCATATTGGAATATTTATAACTGCAAGTAGCAATTAAACATTGTCATCTTGGTATATAAATGATCATTTTAAAAAAAGCGAAAACAAATATTATAGATTGTTGTCTAGAATGTCTACATTGAATATGTGGTTGTTTGATAATGAAATATCAGATTTCTCGTAATTATAAAACATTTATTATTGTTTTCACCTTTTTCATAATCTAAACATGTTCTCCATCATATCGAATTTATGGAAAATTTTAGAGGATACTATAGGTAAAAATATAGTTCCATATGTATATATAAATAAATATTATTGACATCAATAATTTCCAATTAAAAAAGTATATTATTATAGGCATGTTTAAATAATAAAGATTGTATGTATAATAGTTATTAAATTAACAATTTACTTATTAATTTTATTGTATGAATATTGTATATAAAAATTATATAATGAATAATGCTAATATTTTTTTTAGTTGAATACATTGACGTGGATTTTATACTTTGGTTATCATGGCTTCTAATGCCACTTTTAATAACATTTTTACTTCCACTTATAATTGTGGTATTATTATATTTAACTGCATTAATATTATACGTATACAAGTTACACAGGTGAGTTTTTATTAATTTAAGCATATATCAATGATAAATAATTTTTTGTTTTACTTTGTTTCCATAGAGTTAGATTAAGAAATGCATATGGGACAGATTGGAGAAATGCAGCTCGTAATGTAGTAGCTGCAGTTTGGGATGCTCATGGTTGGATTTGGTATGGTATGTTATATCAAATTAATTAAGTAATATTTATTTTCACAATCTTTATATATTCTTTTTTAATTACTAAGATAACTTTCAAACAATATATTTCAATTTTATTGTAGCTGTATCTGTACATAATTATAGCTATAGATATAATTATATATGATATATTTCATATGTAGTAAGCACAATTATAAATTATGAACCTTTTATATAGGGTACGAAGTAGTTGGGCTAGAAAATATACCAAAAAATGAATCAGTACTTTTTGTGTACTACCATGGAACTATTCCCATAGATCTTTATTACTTCATATCCAAAGTATTACTTCTAAATTCAAGACTAATTCATACTGTAGCAGATAGATTTCTTTTTAAATGTCCTGGGTGGTCTATTATTTCCGATGTATTGAAAGTTATACCTGGTACAGTTCAAATATGTTCTAATATTTTAAAAGAAGGTAACATGCTTGCTATCTCACCTGGTGGTGTATATGAAGCACAGTTTGGAGATTTTTATTATCAATTAATGTGGAAGAAACGAGTTGGTTTTGCAAAGGTTGCATTGGATGCTAAAGTGGTATGTTATTTTATTATACCTTTCTGCTTTATTTGCATCATTCTGAAATATTAATATTTTTGTAACAGTGCGTAATACCTTTGTTTACAAAAAATATTAGAGAAGCATTTAGAACAATAAGTTGGGGTAGAAGAATGTGGTTGAGAATATATGCTGCTACCAGATTTCCTTTTGTACCTATTTATGGTGGTTTCCCTGTAAAATTAATAACATATGTTGGTAAACCAATTCCATATGATGGAAATCTTACACCAGAGCAGTTACAAATGAAGGTAATGAACACACACACTCAAATTTCTTAGTTAAATTTAAAATAAAATAGATAATTATAAGATATAGAGAGCAAAGTGTTTTAGATTTATTATTTTTATTTTCAGGTTGCTGATGCATTAAATAATTTAATAAGTCAACATCAAAGAATACCTGGAAATATATCATTAGCTTTATTAGAAAGAATATATTCTCCAAAGAAAGAACAATGATAATTTTTAACATTTATTCCATTATTATAACATTTTGTCTTATAGTCTGAAGTGAAAAGAAATTTAAAAAATACCATACTTTTTTGAATTTTTAAGATTTACAGCTTTAATTTCTGGTGCTAAATTTAGTAATGATTAATAATGAATTTTTTTTACATTTAAAGTTTATGTAAGCTAAAAAAATGTTGATTTTGCAACAGTGAAATAGTACTTATTTTTTAGATATAACAACTTATTTGCCTTTTTAATTATTCAGTAAACATTTTATATATTTTATCTTAATTTATTGATGATATAATATTATTTTTTATATATAGATACATATATGACATGAATTATTAATATTCATAATCTTATACACATATCTGAGGATAGTCTTTAACTTCTTTTTCAAGAATTATAGATATTTTTATTGCGATTAGAATTCTTAATATTAATACTTTGTAAATATATTTTCTGCAATGAGAATTTATTGTATAATTGTGATCTGTTAATAATTCCATACAATATTGTACAAGTACTTATATACATTTTTTTATTTATTATCTTTATACATAAAAATAATAAAGTTCATGAAAGTCTATATTTATATTTCTCAAAAGAAGTTACTTAATTTTAATGTTATTTTACAATAATAGTTCTAGTCTTTTCTTCAAAATTTGATTACTTCAAAAATTTAGAATCAAAATAAATAAATAAATATAATTTATTTCAATTAAATCAGTTATATAATTTTTTTGTTGATTATATAATGATAAGAAATCAATAAATTAATATTTGTTTTAAATTTGCCGGAATCGGAAATGTTGGCATCGATCGTCATGTGTTACCGGAAGATCTGAAGCGCAGCGAACCTAACGGCGGCTTTTCCAGTTAAAATTTCTTTCCCGAGGGTATCTTCAGATACCTTGTTATATTCATCGAACGGCATTGGAGTGGCCTCGTTTTTTGCAGATAGTAGGATCACGTTTATGTGAATTCTGCTTAGCGGTTCAAATTATCCATTTTCCTATAATAAAATTTACTTACTTCTTCGTTAGGAATCCTATTTCTGTGACATAAAATACATAGTCATGGGCGTGGATGTGGAAGTTCTTTCTCCCGGAGACGGTAATTATTCTGTACACGATATTCTGCAATCTTTCACTTTTCTTTTTCGATTGCTTTTTCTTTCTTTTCGAGTCACACCTTCGTAATTCTTTTATTGTTTGACGTTAATCGAATCTTCCTAATTGTATTATAATTAAAATATGCCGGAAGGTTTAGTCTAGGAGATTTATTTACAACGTGAAAATCGGTGAAAAGCATGCTTTACCGATGATCCGATCCAAATAAGGTGATTTCGGTCTTTACTTAATACGTGTAGCAAATGTACAAAATTTTGATAATTTATACTTTTCATTTATAATGCAACATTTCTTGTAATATTTTATCTGTCTAGGTCAGACATATCCGAAATCGGGACAGACCGTAGTTGTTCATTATACAGGTAAACATTTAAACAATTTTTGATATTATATTATGTATGTTAAAAGTTGGTTTCAACAATAATAAAATACTTTTAATGTCGTGTTTGAAATTCATTTGACTCTTAACATATATTTATATTAAGTAAAATAATATTGTTTCTAATTTATATTATATTTTATGAAAGTCTAATAGTTACTTATGTAATAGGTACCCTCAACAATGGAAAAAAATTTGACTCTAGTAGGGACCGTGGGGTACCATTTAAATTTAAAATAGGTAAAGGAGAAGTTATTAAAGGCTGGGACCAAGGAGTTGCTCAAATGTGTGTTGGAGAACGTGCTAGGTTAACTTGTTCACCAGATTTTGCCTATGGTAGCCGAGGACATCCTGGAGTATATCCTTTAATACAATATAAACATGTGTAGCATTATCAACTTTTATTTCTATATAATTGCTATTTCCATAGCAATATAGCAAATATGTCAGCAAAAAAAGTCAAATTTTATAATTCCTTTAATGATGTTCATTTAATGATGTAGTCATGATGTGTATTAATTTTAATTAATTCTTATATTTTATGAAATATTTATATATTATTAATAATGTTATTTTATAGTTATCTTTTAATTGTGAATGTATGATTAATGTTTTTTTCTTTTTTCTATTGCAGTGCAGAAGAGCAGAATAATTAAATGATTCATTTATAAATATTTTATATTAAATTATATTTTCTAGTTATCATTGGTATTATTTGAATTTTTGTTTTCTAGTAGCAGAAGATTTAATTAAGTTATAAACTGTATCAAAAGATCAGTTTTAATAATTACATAGGTAATTATTTTCCTTGACATAGACACACTATTCCTCCAAATGCTGTTCTCATCTTTGATGTGGAATTATTGAAGGTGGAGCCTTGAAAAGATTTTCAGGGTGTATCAAATTGACTGCACACATCAGAACCACAGATAATTAAACGCTTCAAATTACATTATGTTAAGTAGTCATTGCATGAATGGTATGTCTTACATACTAATCTTAATTTGATTGCTCATAAAGACAAAAAGTAAAAAAGAAAATTTTTTAAATTCTGTGTTTCACAATTGCACATTTATATAAACTACGAATTATTATTGTACAGAAATCATCAATGACCAATTAATGTGAGATATTAGAACAGTTTAATCATTCTTTTACATTTGTAATAAGATTAAAATTTACATTACTCGATTTGAGGCTGTTTGCATTCCTATTATGAGTAATTGAATTAAATAAATCTTGAAGCATTCAACATATAATCCAACATCTGTGTTCATTCCAATTACTTAGTACTTGGTAAACTATCACCTGGGTATTTTGTACAAAATCTTTCAATGATGCAAAAAGAAATAATTGTACCGGTAATGTAATAGTATGAATCTTTACACAGAAGAATTCAATAAAAAAAATTGTCTTGTCTTCAAGTATATGAATATATTTATTAGCCCATTGTTAACATTTTCTATATACATATGCTATTTTAAATAAATTTGATTTGTGTTGAATATTTTAACTTTGTTATAACATTTCTTTTCATCTATGTGTTACTTCAAAATTTTGTTACAATTTTATACAATATTATACCAATGGTGTGCACATATATTTTGCCAATAAACAATATTGTCATTATATAATGTAGCTTACCGATAATACAATAATGGTACATAAATATATCAATATCTACTACCGTTTGCAGTGAGTTACACAAAAAGGAATGTGTTGCGAATTGCACACCATTAGTTCACATGATGTTGAAAATGATAGTAAAGTAAAAATTTCAATTCATTTTAAAAATTTCTGCAAGGATAACTCGCAATAAATTTATCAAAATTGAAATGATACTTATTACAGCTAGTAATAAATAGTAGTAATAAATATTAATTATTTATAAATATTAAAAAGAAATACATATATATACACATATGTAATTGAGTTTCTAATGTTAAGCAAATATTGCACGCATTAAACATATCAAAATGCATTATGTGTAAAAATATCGTATTACATCTTTTTAACATAAAATGTACAAATAAATTATGTTGACATAACTGAAATATAGCGAATGTAATGCTCAACTTAATAAAAATATCGTAACAAAGAATTTGTTTCTTTAGTAAACAAATAATTCTGGGAAATGTATTTCATAAGCTGGAGCTTGGCTTGGCTTAGTATCTGTTGGCTGTCCACCGGGTTGGGATGTATTTCGTGGATCAACGGATAATGTATTAAATATTTCTGACAGTTTACTTTGTAAAACATCATGCTGTAAAATTATTTATGTTTATCCTTACGATATTTACCAGTAACACATTTATTAAAGCACCATCTTCATACCTTTGGTTGTGTCTTGGATACTAAATCTTGGAATGGTGCGTTTCTAAAGAAGTGCGATAACTGTAACCGCTTTTCTTCTTCCATTACGTGATTATTATTATTTTCTATTAAAATTCGTTTCATACTTTCAAAAGTTAACTCTTCTCCCGGTAATTTCTGAGAATAGAAAATATAATAAAAAATTAATAAAATGTTACAAATAAATTAAAAATACATATAAGGGATGTACTTTTTGAACACCAGGGGACGAATCACCACTGTCCAATTCTGTAGCACCAGAATTAATATCACCTAATGAATTTCGTCCAGCACTATCGACCCATGAATGCCTAGAAACATAAAATGTTGATAATATTTAGGTATCATTGCAACTAATAATATAAAGAAATAAAAGCTTAGATTAATATGTACGATATTACCGATGTTGTAATGAAATGCTACTATAACCAGAACCCTGTTGTAATTTTCCGCTATCGAGACCAGCTCCCTTTAAACATTCACTTAAAATAGTTTGATCAATTAATAGAGCAGGTGCTAATCTAGAAGACAAGCCAGTATCATATTGAGACTGTAAATCAAGCAAAAGGTGAGGGGCTTCTTTTCGCCGTACTTCTACAACCTTAAAATGTAAAAATGAAAAGAACTAGAATATGCTTCTACAATGTATCAATAAATGAAACAAATGATAACTTACTTTGTTTGCATAATCCATGAGCGAAGTAATATTACAAACGTAAGATATTAGCACAAGTAAACTGATAACAATAGCGTGTAAATTAAATTTCAGCGAAATACTGATTTGGCCACTAGTTAAAGCTAAATCCTGAAGACTCAGCACTAATCTTAGTAGTTCCAACACGGTTTCTTCTGAAGCCAATTCTACGGCAAGTAATGCCAATGTTGTATATATAGACTCCACGTTTTCTACCTTGTTACTTGCCAATTCTAACGATTCGTATAACGCTAAATAAATTTCAGGGCCATGTTTACGAATAAAGATCACATCTGGTCTGGATGCTTTTTCAATAGTGAGATCAAGTTGTGCAACATTTACTCTGTTCAATAATTACCACAAAACCATGTTTAAAATGATTATATTATAATTAAAGATATCAATTTTTAAAAAATTAATCAGCAACTTACGTAGGTTTCGCGAGTTTCGTAATATTTTGATGCCTGTCGATTAAAGTATGAAAAATCTTTTGTACTAAAAGTCGCATTTCCGCATCTGCAGCAAGCGACATTCTTAACAATGGTTCCAAAAAACTTGGTGGAAACGTTGTATTTAAATGTATAGTTTGATATTTTGTGCCAACCTAAAATGTACACAAAAATTGAACAAGTTAAAAATGCATACATTACACGATATGCATTTAAATTGTGTTAATAAAGAGTACTTACTTTTAAAAGAGATTTTAGAAGAATACTTTGGAGTAAAACATCTCCTTTACCAACTGATACTATACTATCTGGTTGACTGTATGGAACTTTACTCATTATGAACATCATGATTTCTATTTTCTGATAATCTGGAAGATGATTTGCAAACTCTCCAAGGGCATTAATAAGTGCCTCTTGATATAATTGTTCATCATTGCTTGAAGATTGGTTTCTTGTTACACTAACTCTAAGATGAGATAGTAGAGAATTTATTATCTCCAAAACAGAGGGACCTTTAAAAACATATTAGGTAATGTACTGATAAAATATACTGCTATAATATAAATTGCATTATTTTATTATATTAATTAATTTTTTTATTATTTATTAAAACTCACCAACACTTTCACCAGCCGCAATTGATATAATTTTGGATAAAGTATCCGCAATACTCGTTCGAATTTTGGGAGACGATTTTGAATGATCATCAAGATGAGTCATTAATGCTTCCACTACTGTATAAGAGTATTGTGACTAAAAATGTTTAATATATTTAAAAATACATGATTTTTTTTTTTAAATACTTATTGACGAATAATAATGATATTTAGTGATTTTCTACTAACCTGAATCGAAAACATAATTATTCTAAATGTATGAATTGCAAAGTAATTAGGAACCCATAACTGATGATTATCTAAATGTCTGAAAATATTTTTATTAAAATATATATAATTATGCTTATTTATAGTTTAAAGTATGCAGTGATCCAAAATTTAAATGGCAAACCTTAGAACAGGTCTAATAACACATCTAATATGACCAAATGATGCTCGTCCAACGAGTTCTCGCATACAAGTTTCTGCAAATTGTGGTGGGTCAGATCGTTCTTCTGTTGGACTATCTGGTGTTGCATCATCTTTGCTAGAATATCTATTGAAATAAAATTATTAATACGTATTATGTGTATATATAGTAACGAGATATGAAATTTGTATATATTACCTTGAATTTTGCATATTGTATAATAATGAAGGAACAATTTTATCCATGTGTACTGGTTCCCAAATGTTTTCTACCAGATCATCAGAAAGTGTTTTCCTTACGACACCCTGGATGGAAAGTGTCAATTAATTAATTAATTATTACATTCTGTTGTTTACTTGCATTATAAGTTGTAATATATTAGATTATTAAAAGCAATGAAGAAGTAATTAATTTTATTTGATAATACAAAAATTTATCAAACCACTATGTATGTATAAAAATCATGCCTGTAACCCCTGAATTCCAGCAAGCCGTATCTGTTTACGGATTGCAGGGTCATTGTGGTTCGAGTGGCACATTGCAGAGTATTTTGATACAAAGAAATCGTAACGTGTGTGATAAGACGGCGTATCCTGCTCGATGTTGGCAAACCGGACAAACTGGAAGAAGCCAGCACTTTGTTCAACTGAATTGAAAGATGCCAAAAATATAATTATTTTTTATGCTAATAAATGATAAAGTAAGAAATAAAACTTTTATAACAAAATAAAATTTTTATAACTAAATATAATAATATAATATTTATATTTAAAATAATTTAATAAAACCTACAGATTGTGTTGCCAGTATTTGTAATTGTGGATCTGTAGATTCCAACAATTTTTGTATCATTTTTAAAAAGCTTTCAACAAATAAATTTAAAGTCTGAGCATGGCATGCTACTAAAAGTTGATCCATTGCTTCCATAGCAATTACAACAAATCCATTTCTTCTCCTGTATTGTAAATGTATTCATTTTAGTATTTTCATATGTAAGTGCAGAGATACCTAATATATCCAGATAAGTAATTAATATTTTCTATGAGAACTGATCAATAATATGTAATTAATCATATGACTGGCGTACAACACAAGCAAATATGAATTTACATTAATTACATGAACGTGCACTTCTCTCTGTTATTAAATTAATTATGTAACTTTCTATCATCTAGATTGTTTATGTCATACCTGTATATGTCTCTGGAAGCCCTTTGAAATAAGTATTCTCCAATTCTGTCCAGTTTTTCAGGACTACTTAACGAATAAAACGTCAGCTTTTCCATGTTATTTTTAACTAAGCCATCCTAATTATAAAAATATTAATTTATATTACAACAGATATTGATATTAATTTATGATATTGGATAGCAAGATTAATGTGTATTTAAAACTAAAAACTAAAACTAAATATTTATTGATATATTAATAATTTTATTATTAAATATCAAAATTTTGAAGCGTTATTTTTTCTTTTATTTACAAATTTTTTAATAATATTAACTATATACATTAAATAATATATGTTAGAATTACTTATTACAAAATTTCATCAGTTTCGAATTATGATATAAAACAAAATTAGAAATAGTAAATTTATTAAACAAATTTAATTTGCGAAAAGATACTTTGCTTCAGAAATTATTATTACTTTGACGTTCTATATAAGAACATGAAAAAAGAATTACACAATAAAACTATAATACAAAATATTTGTTCGTAAAGAAAGTATATGAAAGGGATAACATTTTTGGAAGGTATAAAGAATATAAGGCTTACCTGAGGATTTA